CCAAAGCGGCCCTTCTTGCGGCGTCTTGGCTGTAAGAGGCCCGCGGACCCCCCAGCTGTCGAGACGCACATGAGCATGCGAGCACTACGTTGCGAGGCGGGGACTCATCCATATCCACCGCCTGGGAACCGACGCCCTGGTGCCCCGGCGGGCGGTGGATATGGATATATGTTGGCCCCCGGGGCCCCGAATATGCCCATATCCGCCGCCTGCCGAGGTCCCCGCAAATTGATCCTCCAGGCGGTGGTCATGCATACATTCCTGCCTCGGAGACGTGTCCTCTTCGGAGGCGCGTGTCCGACCCGGGCACATAGGACAACCATCTTGTAGTACAACCAACCCGTATCATAAAGATACGCGGTAGGGATGCAAGGGTTAAGGAGGACCATGTTACGCTTTTCGAGCGAGGTTGGCCAGCGAAAGTCGCTAAGGATGGGCCGAAGGGGAAGGATGCAAGAAAAGCCCTATGCCCCTGAGAACAACACCCTGGGGATAATTCGCCGGCCCAGCGGGCCAAAGGTGTGCTAAGATCTCTGGTAACAGATTAACAGTATTTCTAGTTCGCGCGCGAGGCGGTCCCTGGGGACCCCTGGACGAATAGTACCCCCGGCCGATGCCTGGCCGATGCCCGGTCGACTCCCCCGGGGCGCTCCCGGAGCGCGCCAAGAAGGCGCCGAGACGCCCCCGACACGGCTCGCGAGGCCCCGAGTCGCCGAAAGATCGCTCCAAGAGGCCCAAGATGAACTCGAGATGGCCCCAGAGGCTGCGAAAAAGCCCCAGGGGAGCCTCAAGAGGCTCTCCAAGAGGGCCCCAACAAGCAAAAATCGCCCCATTCCGTTCGGAAAGCGTACATCTTTCGCATGTGCGACGTTTCTCGTCTACGCTCCAAGACGGCCCAAGAGGCCCCCAAGACCGCCCCAAGAAGGCCCAAGAAGCCTCCAAGAGGGCCCCAAGACGGCCCAATATGGCCCCACGACAGCCCGAGAGGCGCCCAAGATGGCCCAACAGGGCCCAAGACGGGGACCAGGAACCGAAAAGTCCAGCCTTCGGCCCCAAGAGGCCCACAGGAGGCCCCAAGAGGCCCCCAAGAGGCCCCAAGGAGCCCCAAAGAGGCCTCCCAAGAAGCCCCACGAGGCCCACAAGAGGCCCCACTCTTAGTCTCAAAACTGCCTTCCAGAGGCCCCCAAAATGCCCCAACACGGCCCCAAGCGGCGACGCAATATGGGCCGGCGGCGGAATGAACGAAGCGATTAGAGAAAGTTTGGGGTCGCGGGAGGGTGATAAACGATTTGTCCCAGCAAGTCGTGCGAAGGATGTACGACGAAAAAAGAGGAGGATGGTTCCCGCAATCTTTCGTAACTTTCCCCCGCGATGATAAAGTTCGGCCTTGTCGCCCCTCTCCCCCGATCAACTCTGTCTTGGCCGGGGGAATCAACTCTCAGGGGGGTCAGGGGGGGTGTGATTTTTTATCCAGCGCTCGCGGCTAGCCGTGGAAAACTGTTCATCCTCACTGTGCGGGTTGACTGCGTATCGTTTCCAGCGGCACGGCCAGACAGGCCACGGAGCTTCTACTATGAGATTTCTCGGCGCGCGCGTCGCCCCTAGGATGAGGAGATAAAAAGATACCGATACCGCTACCCCCCGGACCTCTCCGCGGGTGCGTTCTGACCAAGATTTCGAGGCGAATCCAGCGGTGGCGATGAGGGCCTCTAAGGAGGGCCCAAGAGGAGGAGAACGGACGAGGGGTAGAGGTATGGGTACCTTTTCCTTCTCCGATGGGAGGGCGACACGCACATAGTACATCCCTGACCTTCAAAGGTGCGAAAAAACACTCCACACCAATAGCATAGACCTCTGTTTGAAGTGCTTAAGCCTCGACAGGAATTTGGGTACCCGGGTCCAGGTGCTAGTTCTTAGCATCCCTCCTGGAAGGTCAAGGATACTTGAAATGTTGGGGTGGCGCCGCGCTGTGGCCGGCCTGCGCGACGAGAAGCAGCCTGCGGCACCCGCCGAGAGAGGCCGCGGGGTCCTTCGGCTTGGACGCCGTGTTGGTGCACCGGGCCAGCACGCCCAGGACCCCGGCGCAGAGCTGCGCCAGCTGCCGGGGGGGCGCAGGGGCGCTTCGGCCCGCGGCGCCTGCAAGGCAAGGTGACCACGTGCGATCCCTACAGTAAGGGCTCGACCACAAGGAACCTGCCACAAGAAACCCAACCCTGAGACCCCAGGACGTCCCCTGATGATTGGTGTGGGAACGTCACGCTCCCCTTCGCAAAACCATCGAAACCCAAGAAACCCAGGGCACACTGGAGGCATGCGGGGTGTTTCTTGGCATGGGCCGCCACAGTACCCTGGCAGGTCAGATTTCGAAAGTTGGGGTCGCCAGAGATTGGACAAAGCGCTTGTCGTGGACGCTGGGAAGGGGGAAAGGGAGGGGAGGGGTTCGACCTGCCCCCCCCCCGTCGAGATGCAAAAGGGGGGGGGGGGTCGAGATCGAACCGGGCCCCCCCCGCCTCCCCTTTCCCAGCACGGGGGCAGTAGGGGGGGTCGAACAAAGCGCCGCCCCCCGGGCCCCCCGAATCACAGGGGGGGGGGGGCTCTCATCGGGGGAACGGAGCCCCCCGATATGAAGACTAATCCTGGTCAACCGGTCCCTTTCCCGGCTTGGTGGATCCGACCCTGGCCGTTGGGACCAGTTCGGGCGAGCCAAAAATCAAGCTTTCCTTTTTCCTTCTACAAGAGACCTCTTCGAGGCTTTTTTTTTTCCGCTGGAACAATGCAAAAGTTCACGCGCCGCGGATCTGCAGCTTTCTAAGTGCCAGCGCGGGCAGGCTGTCTACGGCAACGCGCTGCACTGCGCATGGGATCCTAGAAATATGTCAGGAAACAACGGGCCACGGCACTCCACGTGAAGTGGCTCTGAAAAGACGGGCGGGCCCTGACAGCGCGGGCCTGAAAACCGCCGTCAAGATATCTACAAATGAGGCGCGCGCGAAACCTGCCCCGGCGGATTGGCGTATATATGTTGTCCAAATCGTATGCCTTGCCCCCCACACGGGATAGCCTAACGTGTTTGTCACGAGCTGAAATGCAATGCGATGTCACATGCATTCATTAGGCTGCTCAAAGCTCTTCCGGCTCTTCCGCATCTCCAAGCTGCGAGCTGCCTGCTGGCCGGGAGCTCCGAGCACCAGCTCGTTGAATCGCTCTTCCACTGCAGATGCCAACCAACAGAGAAAGAATCCCTTGATCTTTCTTTCGACGGCTTCGAACCCGACAGAGGCTTGAATGAGTGACTTGACCCTTGCCTCATCGCCAGGATCGAATGCGGCGGCAGTTCGGCAATCAACTTTACTGAGTTGCTGGACGACAGCGAGAATTCCTTCCCTGCCTTCCTCAATCCGTTCAAGTAAGGCGTGAGCTGATGCCGCGGGTAGCGCCATTTCGACCTCGATCCCCAGGTTGACCGCTGTGAACTGCTCGAACAGTGTCCATATCCTCTTGAGGTATACAGGGTCTTCCCAGGTATCCAGCACGGCCACTACCTTCCCGATACGGCGCAGGTTGCCCTCAAATGTCTCTCCGAGATTGTCAGACCCTTTTCTTGTATGTGGTGGCAGTATGCGATACTGATTGTTCACAAAGAAACACATCCAAAAGAACACCTCGTCGGGATGCAAGGCAGACCTCGCCAACCACTCCTCCAAGGCGGACCGCAAGGAGCTTAGCTTGTACCCCCATGTCCACGAGAGAAAGTGCGTGCAGAATCCCCGGTGCTGGGGCGGCAACGTATCTACGATTGCGCATCCAGGCTGGCCATCACGCGGGCAGAGCTTCGCTTTCCCAAGCGCGTCCGGCCCACAAAACAAAGCGTCTTTCATCTCGTAAAAAGTTGGATCCTGGCGCCCTGTGCGGTCGGCTACCAATTGTTCAAACTCGTCTGAGAGCAGATACGCGGCGCTGACACCGAATCTCTCGCTGATTTCTTTGCGAATGTCGGCAACGTGGGCATCAACTTCTGCGTCCGAGAAACCAGAACTGCACAAGGACAGTCGAGCCTCCCGGATAGCATTGTCATCTTCTTCCTGGACTGCTACACGCAATTTATTCAGCATCTTTGCTTTTGGATCTTCTTCAGCCTGGGGGGACAGAGCCCGCAACTCATCTTCCAACATGAGAGCGCGCATCCATTCCACACGTCGCTCAATATCGATGATTCGTTGGCTCGTCCATGACAACACTAAAGATGTCACAACAACTAACAAAAAAGCGACTACCATTGACCTATCGTGCGGTGACATACCTGGCGGAAGACTAAACACGGCATACACGCACGGAAGAAACATTGAAATAAGTAAGCTGAAGTGTGTGCGAATCCGTAGACCTGTTATGATCGCAGTCCCAATCATAAGCAATTGAAGCAGCATCAGCGTGTCGTCGTGTCGCTGGAGCACCAAGAGATCACTAACCTCTCCGAACATGTATGCAGCTCTCCAGAAGTTTGCAAACTGGAAGGCTACGGCGCCAGTGATCGTCAGCGCTGCTACAATCGAATCCAGTTCAAAGCATGTAAAAAATCGCGCTGGCGCGAACCGAAGGGCGAGCAGTACTTGGATACACGCGGCCAGAGCAGCCTGCCCACCGTGCACGGATGCGCGAACACTGCTAAGCCCAGAATCACGAAGAACTACAGATTTGCCGAAAAAGCCAACAATCCAGGCGACAGTCAGCACCAGCCAGATTCTGACGAGCTTCGCTCGAATAGATGTACGTATCACGGTCGCGACGTAACGCGCTTCCATTTCAGTTTCGCTAAATATGGGAAACCACAACGCTCGCAGGCGAGCGTTCTCGCTATTCAGTCGAATGGTGTCCTCCTCCATGGGCAAATCATGCGATCCCATGTAGCGAAATATGTTTCCAGTGAGTCCGAAATAGGTACCGACAAGGTGCTACATAGCCAACGCGGATTGACCCAGAACGGCTCTTGAGCCAAAATGGCTACGGAAGACCTCTTCGAGGCTTCTTGGGGTGTTCTCAAAAAGCCTGTTGGAGCCCATTTCCAGCCTTCGCAAAGGCTTCTTCTAAACTTATGAGAAGCTCCTGGAAGCCTTTTGAGAGCCGTCGTAAAAAGGTTTATGAGAAGTTTCTGGGATGCTTCTGAGGGCCTTCGCAAAAGCTTCCGAACGCCTTCGCAGAGGCTTCCGTACGCCTGCGAAGAAGCTTCTGAGCGCTTTCGTTGAGAACTGCTGTGAGCCTTCGTAGAAGCTTATGAACGCCTTCGTACAAGCTTCTGAGAGCCTTGTAGACGCTTCTGAGCGCGTTTGTAAAAGCTTCTGAGAGCCTTCGTATAGACTTCTGAGCATCGTAAAGGCTTCTGAAGACCTCAGCAAAAGGTTCCGTGGAGGTGTCTTAAGAAGCTTATGAGACCCTTCGTGGAAGGTTATGAAAGGCTTATGACAGGCCTCTGACAGCGTCCGTAAAGGTTTCTGAACGCCTTCTTTCTTTCTTCCAGTCGAGGCACGACGCGTCAAACAAACAGCCAGAGATAAGGAGACTAAAGATAATTTGGTACTGCCCGCTGCAAGGAACATTCTGCGTGTCAGGCTTCTGCGCGCCTTCGTAAAAAAAATGTTCCTGTGAGCCTTCGTACAGGCTTCTGAACGCCTTCGTAAAACAGAAACACATGTGAGCATATGAAACGGCTACTGAACGCGTTCGAGAAAAGGGCTTATGAGAGCCATCGCAAAAGGCCTCGTAGAGGTGCCTTAGCAGCGTATGAGAAGCTGCGTAGGAGGCGTCTTAGAAACTTCTTCAAGGCTTCTGAAAAAAATCAAACAAGTTTATGGGAGACCTCTTCGAGGCTTCTGAAAAGAAGGCATCCGAGAGGCGTCTGAACAAACAACGGCTGAGAGGTTGCTGAGAGATTTATGAAAGGTTTGGGAAAAAAGGCTTCTGACGGGTTTAGGATAGCATCCGTCGACGCTTCTGAGAAGGTTCTAATAACCTTCGTAGAGGCTCCTTAACCAGCGTCGTAGAAAGACGCATGCCAATGTTTTGAAAACAAGTGCAAAAAAAAAAAAACAAGGGACCGTAGAGGCTTATGAAAAAGGCCCCATTGGACGCTTCAGAAAAGCTCCAGGAGCTTTCGTAGGGGCTTCGCATCGGCTTTCGAAAACCTTCGTATGGGTTGTTGATGGGGGTTGCTGACAACCGTCCTGAGGGTGTTTGATCGCCTTCGTTGAAGTTGCTGAAAGTCTCCTTCGCAAAAACTTCTAGAAAACAGAATTTCTGAGAGGCTGCGGATCGCCCTCCGATGCGTTTAAGGTGGGCTCCTGAATCAAAAAACTTCTGAGACGCTTCCTGGAGGCTTCTGACAAGCTTCCCAAAAAAACTTCAGAGAGGCAGTTGCGAGGCTTCTCCGAGGCCTCTGGCAGGCTTCAACGAAGCTTTTCCGAAGTTCCTGCAAGGCCTCAAAGAAGTTTTTGCGAGGTTTGCGAACAATGATGTTGCGAAGCTTCTGAAACGTCTCGGCAAAACTTTTGCAAGGCTTCTGAACAAGCTTTCGCGGGGCCTCTGAATGGCTTCTGCGAGGCTCCTGAAATGGTCCTGCGAGGCATGTCAAAGACCTTCGGCAGGCTCCTGAAAACGAGAATTTGAAACAACTTCTCAAAAGCCTCTGTGGAACTTGCCAGGCTTATGCGAGGCCTCTGCTCAGCTTCTGCTAAGCTTTTGCGGAGCTCCTGCGAGGCCTCTTACGGGCTTCTAAGAGGTTTCTGGTAAACTTCTGCAAGGTTTATGAAAAATTGCTGGGAGGTTTCTCGGAGGCTTCTGCGAAGCCTCTGAAATATGTGCTTCGATAAGCTTCTGCAGAACTTACGCGAGGCTTCTGAGAGGCGTCTTCTAGGCCCCTCTGAGGCCTCTCTGAAGCTTCTCAGAGGCACACGTGAGGATTCTCAGAAGGAGAGGCTTCCACGAGGCGTCTGCCAAACTTCTGCGAAGCCCCTGCGAGGCCTCTGACAGGCTCCGGCGAGGCTGCTGGAAAGGCTTGTGAACAAGCCTCTGACAAGCGTCACCGGAACTTCTGCAATGTTTCTGCAAAGCTGTTCCAGGATTTCGGCAAGGCTTCTGCGAGGCTTCGGCGAGGCTGCTGCGAGGCTCCTGAGAAGTTTCTGCGAAGCTTCTGAGAGGCTTCCGCGACGCTTCTGAAAGGCTCTGTGAAACTTCTGCGAAGCTTCTGACAGGCTTCTGCAAAGCATTGAGAGGCGTCTGCGAAGCGTCTGCGAGGCCCCTGAGAGGCCTCGCAAAATCCGATGCAAGTCCTTAAGACTCCTAGGGGATGCCGTAATAGACTGGTGGAACTCCTTCGGGTTCCTACGGCACCCCTTGGGACTCCATCAGAATGATTGATCAATCTGGTGGAACTCCTTGGAATACTTTTCAAGATTCCCGGAGATTTGTCGGGATTCCTCTGTATCCCTTAGGATTTAAAATATTTCGGCACAACCTCGAGTTGGGCGTTGCGTAATAGGGGGGTCATAAATGGGGGGGTGGCGAGGGTGGTCCGAAAAGGTACCCAAACGGTACCCAAACGAGCCCCCTGGGGCCTCGGAGGGGCCCGAAAGGGGCACGAAAGGGGACCGTTTCTGACCCCCCCATTTGTGACCCCCCCACTAAGCAACGCCCAACTCGAGTCTGCCGACGCGTCCTTCCGGATGCATGGCGTTTGCTTGCTTTAGGCCAGCCAGAGCTTGACTGGCACGACGGATGGGTGCTGGAGGAGGCGGGCGCAAAAGCGGACGATGAGGAGGGGTGCCCCCCCCCCCCCACACGAGATGCACCTCCCAATCGAGCACGAAATGCAGACCATCGCGTCCTGCTGGTCAGTGAACCCCCAGGACTCCTCACGATGCCCCAGCATATAAAAACTAATACGAATACTGCTTCCACTACCACGACCACTACGCATACAATCCACACCACGTCGACGCCGACTACGATTGCCACTCCTTGTAATATGACTGTTACTACGAATGATAGTACTACGACTACTACGACTGCTACGACTACGACTACGACTATGACTACGACTACAGTTACTACGACAACAACAACAACAACAACTACTTTTACTACTACCTCTACTACTACGACTACTACTACTACGACTACGACTACTACTACCACCACTACTACTACTACTACTGCTACTACTACTACTACTACTACTACTGCTACTACTACTACTACTACTACTACTACTACTACTACTACTACTACTACTACTACTACTACTACTACGACTACGACTACGACTACGACTACTACTACGACTACTACGACTAATACTACTACTACTACTACTACTACTACTACTACCACTACTACTACTACTAATCATAATACTACTACTACTACTACGGGGGCTGTCCGTAGTCTGTGCTAGCAGATTTGAATGACAGGTAAGCGGTAAGGGTTCGGGCTCGCGTTCGGTTTCGGAAACGCGCGTACCCGTCACATTTTTTGTTTTTGTTCCTAAAGAATTGGAGGGCCTCGGGCTTTCCGGGAAACGGAATTGTTTCATACAGAATTATACGCGGGGTCCTTCTGAAAAAAGTGAAGGACCTCTGGCTTCCCAGGGCGAAATGTTTAGTATAGAACTTAGTAGGGGCCCCGATGAAAACTGGAGGGCCTCTGAACACCTGGAAAAATATGTTTTATAAAAATTGAAAAGGGGCACCCCTGAAAACTGGAGGGCCTCTGGAGCCCCGGAAACAAATGATTGAATAAAGGCCCCTATGCAAAACTGAAGGGCCCCTGGAATCCCGGGGAAAAAAATGTTTTTATATACAATTTGTATTTGGGACCTCTATGAAAACTTGAATTCTAGAGTCCCGAACAAATGTGTTTTACATCGAATTCAGGTACGGGCCCCTTGTGAAAACTGGGGAGCCTTTGGAGTCCTGGGAAAACAAATGTTTGATATAGAACTTGCACAAGGGCCTCTCTGAAAACTGGAAGGCCTCTGGAACCCTTGAAACACAAATGTTTGTTGTATCGAATTTTAAGGTCCCCTATGAAAATTGAAGGGCCTCTGGAGCTCTGGAAGAGCAAATGCTGAAACATAAAAGTTTGATGGGTGCCCCTATGAAAACCTTGAGGGCCTATGGATTCCCAGAGAAACAACTGCTGATACATACACACATATACACATACATCTATCTAGAGAAGAAACGAGAAACAAAAATAGAGAATTGCAATAGGGGCCCTTACGGAAACTGGAAGGCCTCTGGATACCTGAAAAAAAAAACATGGCATGGGCGTGCCTATTCAAATTCTAAATAAATCCTCAAGGGTCCCATGGGCTATTGCGGAATCCTTGGGGGGTCCCGAGTCGTCCTGAAAATCCCAGAGAATCATCGTATCCTGAAAATTTGCCTGGACATAATGAGGAACCAACCTAATCCAAATAATCGTGAAGAGCCCGCAGTGATCCTCAGGAATCCCCTGGAAGATTGTGAAGCCTGTGGAACCTCAAAGCGTTCTGAAAATCTTAAAGAACCGGCATGGCCGGAGGACTCCTGGAGGATATGTAGGAACCCTCAGGAATCCATTGGAAACTGGTGAATGAAAAACCCTGCGGGATCCTAAGGGAATCTTTCTCGGAACCCGGTATCACGCTACGGATTGCCCTACTAGTACTGCTGCTACTATTACTACTATTACTATTACTACTACTACTACTACTACTACTACTACTACTACTACTACTACTACTGCTGCTACTACTACTACAACTACTACTACTACTACTACTACTAATACTACGACTACTAGTCGTACGACTACTACTACGGCTACTACTGCTACTGCTACTGCTACTGCTGCGGCTGCTGCTACTACTACTACTACTACTACTACTACGACTACTACTACGACGACTACGACGACTACGACGACTACTACTACTACTACTACTACTACTACCTACTACCTACTACCT